GGGGTGGAACCTTCCTTTTGCAGGGATCCTTCAGCAGCGACAGGATACTTTCCCCAGTCCTGGGGAGAAGTCATTCAGACATTTATCAAGCTTCCATCGTGGGCCAAACTCTAGACTCATCCCCATGAGTTTAACATCTCCCCAAGTAGCTCCTAAAGCTCAGGGCTTTCCCCCAACCCTGTCCATCGCACTGCCTATTTCTTACCTGTGCCATCTGCAGAGGGCAAACAGCAAGAGCAGGGTGAGGTGGGCAGCCAACAGGGCCAGGTGGAAAGCTCTATGCAGGAATAGGGCCTCAGGGAGGAAGCGCCAGTTTACTGTCCAGCGGAAGAGAAACTGGCGGCCAAGATCAAAGGAGCGGGATAGATAGCCAATAGGGTTCTCCAGCAGGAAAGGGAGCCCCAGCACCACCTGAGAATGAGTGTGATGTCAGAAGAGCTGCCAAGGCTTACCCCAGCCTCCATGATAATCAATGAGGGGTGTGGGAGTGGATGGAGGTCTCAGAGGTTCCCTAATTTCTATCAGGAATAGTAAAAAATCCATCCTCCACAACTACCTCAGATCAGAGCCTGGCACCAAAGAGGCTCTGATCTGAGCTTCTTTGCAGGTAATAACAGGAAATAATCCTAACCTGATGCTTTAAGACTCATCCCCATGAGTTTAACATCTCCCCAAGTAGGTTAGGATTAACCAACTCACAAGTAGACAGAACTGGAAAGCCTCTCAGAGGCCAACTACTTCAACAGTCTTATTTTAGAGTTAAGGAAACTAAAGCTGCCCATCTCAGAATCAACTCCCAAACCCTGTCTCTCAGTTTGAGAAAGTCTCAAGTAACAGAAGAAGGTCAGATTAATGGTCTCCTCATCCATAAGGGGAAGAGTGAAGAAGGGATACCTGAAGGACAGCACAGATGCCCAGCTTGGGGAGGGCACCACGGAAACCAAACTGCGTAAGGAGAAGGAACAGTAAACCAGGGGCGAAGAGTAGCACATTCATCTTCACGGAGACCGCCAGGCTGAAGTGGGCAGGGGAGAGGAAGGGTGAAGATCAGTTCCAAACTCTTTATCCTGCCTGAAGATGTACCACCATCATCACAGCAATTCCTGGCCTCCTACCAGCAAGCTTCAGGATGAGGTCCTCACTCAGAACTGCTGAGGGAGGGTTAGGTAGTTTGGGAGGAGGCTGGAGGAAGGGGACAGGTATGTAGTCCCTCTGCCCAAACTGAATGAGCACATACTGATGTATTTAGAAGTTCAAGGAACAACCCCAACACTGGATGAAGAGAAAGAGGGGAAGAGGGCTATACGTGGGAAGGGACATGGAAGACAGAGGCTTTCTAGACTTGCTTGTGGAGCCCTGAGTGACCTACATTATCTGTTCACTCCCTTATTCCCTCTGCTACAGAAAATTGGAGAGAAAGAGTTGGAAATGCAGAAAGTGAGAGAAGAGGCATGAGTGGAGGGGCGTCAACCTGAAACAGCAGCAGCCCCAGCCCCAGCGCTGGGCCAGGAAGAGGTTGATACTGAGGAAAAGCAGCGCCATGGCCACTGGGTCATTGAAGAGCCGCAGCACGAAGATGGAGTGGACCCGGTAAGAAGCGCAGCACATGAAGAAAAAGACGAAGGGAGGTACCTGAGGGATGGGCACGGTGGGGAATAAGGTCAATTCCCCCAATCTGAGCCATCCCCATAACCCACCATCCCAGGTTGGGGCCCTCTGATTCTAGCATGGACTCACCTTACAAGTCTGGTGGTAGATTAAGAAAACGAGTAGCAAAGTCACCAGGTAAAGCACAGCAAAGATATTCTGTGCCATGTGGATGTCAGTGCCCTGGCCAGTGGCATAGTATAGTCCCATAAAGATGTACACGAAGCCAGCTGGGTAGCTGGAAGATGAAGGGGAATGTGAGACTAGGTCAGGCTAATCAGCCTGATACCCAGCTAGCCCTTCACATTCTCCCTCAACCTCCTATAATAACTCACACAAGAGGTCCAGTATCACCCTGCAGTTGTGTATAGTCATATGTGCCATTGATGACGCCTTCCACCTGGGCCATGTAGGCCTTCCAGTCAATCTCTGTGTCTGGAAGAGGATAAGATGGTTTGGTTAATTTTGAATCCAGAATTTGCCTGCCCCATACCACCAGGCCTCCAGAACATCAAAGCAGAGTTCCAGCTCATTCCCAGGACTTCCATCTCCACTCCTTATCTAACTGCCTACTCGCTGGGTGAACTCAAGCATCTCAAACTATGTGTCTATAATTGAACTCATGATCTTTCCTCCCACTCCAAATCTGCTCTCTTTCTTGGGTTTCATTAATAGAACAACCAACCTCCTACCTGCCCAGGTCATGAAGCTGGAATACATCTTTGATACATTTTCCTCCTTCATTCTAACCCTTGGTCAACAAATTCTGTTTTCTCATCCTAAAGATCTCTAGTAGTTCATCTTTCTCTGATACTACATAGTCAATTTTGGGTCTAACATAACCTGTAGCCTCGACAACACAATAGTATCCTAATTAGGCTCCTGGTTTCTACTTTCACTCCACTACAATGCATATTCTACCCTGCACAAAACAGTTTTCTTGAAATAAAAATCATTATGAGGTCTCTCTACTTAAAAACCCTTCAGTGATTTCCCAAGGCTCTAAAGATAAAGATCGATCTCTATTATTCCCATTTTTTAGAAAAGGAATCTAAAAGTTAATTAGGTTAAACAACTAACTTTTTTTTTTATTTTTTAATTTTCGGCAGACACAACATCTTTATTTGTATGCGGTGCTGAGGATCGAACCCAGGCCGCACGCATGGCAGGCGAGCGCGCTACCGCTTGAGCCACATCCCCAGCCCTAAACAACTAACTTAAGAATTAGAAAGGATAGAGTTGGGGGCCCCAAGTTTTTAACCACCATGCTGTCTCCTTACAACACTGTTAAATTTCTTTATGATCTGATCTCGACTTGTATAATCTGCTCTCTTATTACCATTCAAATCAGTTTCGACACTGCAGCTCTAAAAAAATAAATTCTTCAAAGGAATCATTCTCTGTTTTGACTGGAGGTTTTTGGTACAAGATCCTCTCTGCCATCCCCTTCCTTCCTTATTCTTTCCTTATCTGGCTAGTTCTTACATACCTTTCAAGAGGGGCTCTATGAAACTTTCCCTTACTCCTGGTGTCTGGCCCTCCTAAGTCACTGCAGCCCTTCCCCACCCACCATCAGAGATTGAACCCAGAGGTGCTTAACCACTGAGCCACATTCCCAGCCCTTTAAAAAAAAATTATTTTGATACAGGGTCTCCCTAAGTTGCTGAGGCTGGCTTTGAACTTGCAATCCTCCTGCCTCAGCTGCTGAGCCACTGGGATTACAGGCAAGTGTCCCCCCGCTTGAACCCTCCTAAATTCTTATAACACTCTGTATTACTCCTATCAAGATGAATATGATACATTATAATTGCCTACTAACATCTTAGTTCAAACCATATGCCCAAGTCATAAATACATCTCTCTTATTCACCACTGTACTTGTGGCACATAACATAATGTTAGGTAATTAAAAAAAAGAGAAGAAAACATAATGTTAGACATAGGACAAGCACTCAATATGTTCTCAGTGAAAAAGTCCTTAACAAGAAACAGAGGTGCCTCAAGCCCAGAGTCTAGATTCAGCCTGGAAAGAACAACTAATAATGCCTAACAGATTCAAGTGGTCACAAAATGCCATCGTAGAGAAGGGACTTCGAAGACCTCAGAATTTAAATGGTTGATAACGTCAAGATCCGGGAAGGGAAGTGACGTGTCCAAGTCACAAGACAAGCAGCAGTAGCATCATACTAACTCTGACCCAGAACTGACTTCCAGGCTGCTTTTTTTTCTTAGCCTGGCAGGCTGTATGATCAGGGTAGAAGGCCAACCTTTAGGGTTGCCCCTAGTCACGGGAGCAGAATTAAGGTCACCCTGCCTGTGGAGCAGATTTGGGGCTCCGATAAAGGATATGACTCTACAGATGATGAATGAGTGGCTATAGAGGTTACTTTTGAGTCCAGGTCTAGGACCCACTTTAGGGTAGGGGTTCGGGTCTCCCTCCCTCCCCCCCTCCATTTCGGCGCACTCACATGCTACCCTGTGAATGACCCAGAAGGTGATGCCCACCTCTGCCAGGCAGAGGCAGGAGGCCACCCGCAGCGTGTAGCGCGGCTCCCAAAGCAATAAGCGCCGCTCTTGCCAGGCGCGTTGTAGCCATTGTCCGCAGACTCCCGCCGGCTGGGCCGCGGAACCCGCCCGGCTGCGTTTCCGCAGCCCAGCCGCCATGTTGACGGTGCGCCGCTCTAATTGGTCCACCACCCCGGAAATCCAACCCTTCGACACTTCAGTTCCGTTCCTCTTCTCCGGAACACCAAACTTAGCGCTGATCCAAGTAGCCAGAATACTTTACTACACTAAAATTTATTTCTTTCGTATCTGTCTCCTCCGGCGGAATACACACCTCGAAATAGCAGGAACAAAGTTTTACTCCTCAGTATATACCCAGTTCTGGGCACACATGGCGCCAATACAGAACGAATGTCTGCTCCGGAAAACAACAGTTCTGTTCCTCGCAAGCCAAGCATTCCACTTCCCCTATGCTGGGAATACTTGTGTTCATGCTGGAGGCCAAAGTCGGTCTGCACTCCTCCCGCTTCCCTTCTGAGCCTTCTAGGTGCTCAAAAACTGCTTGGGAAGAAGTGAATTTTCAGTTTGTTTTCAGTTACTAATGGAAGTAGCAGTTCAAACTGAAACATAAGAGGGCAGTGGTGAGCCTGAGAAGTCTGGCGCTATAAGTGTGGCCCGCGAAGGCGACTAAGCAGTACAGCCGGAGGACTGCAAAAGTAGACGATGATTCAGTGTTCCCAGCCGGAGGATTCTTCAAAGAGCGCTTAGCAGAAGACGGAAGTTCCACGTGTTTGTGTTGAGCAACTGCAGGTGGTGGGCGGAGACACAAGGGCCCCGCCCACCACATCCCACCCTCCGGATTGGCTGCGTAGGTCGGGTCTTGGAGAGTGCCTAGAGCATGGCCTCTCCTGGGTCCCCGGCGCCCTGGCCGGAGTTACCCGAGCAGAACTTCGAGTACTGCGAGGTCCAGTACTGGGACCAGCGCTACCAAGGCGCGGCGGACTCTGCGCCCTACGAGTGGTTCGGGGACTTCTCCTCCTTCCGTTCCCTCCTAGAGCCTGAGCTGCGGCCGGAGGACCGTATCCTCGTGCTAGGTGGGTATCCCCAGAGCTGTCCCGGCCAGGAGATCAGGCTGCGTCAGGCCTGATCTGACCTCATCCACTTTCTCCTTGTCTCTTTGCCCCTCTCAGTGGACCCCAGTGGGAAGCTAAGATCCAGTACCTCCGAATCCAGCTGTAGTTAGCCAGGGCAAACAGGAGTGATCCTGGACCCTGTTCCGGACTCTTGGGAAGTAACCTCTGGCCCAGGAGAAGGCAGAGGACCTAGTTTAAGTCCCAATACAAATTGGCAGTATAACTTAGGACAAGTGATGAATCCGTTGTGAGCGTCAGTTTCAATTTTAGAAATGGGACTAGGATTTCATACGAGATAATACAAATGCAGGCATCTCGAGCACTTTGCTTAGCGCTTTTCTTTTTGCGCCAGTTGGCACCAGGAGCCATTGATACCTAGAGGGAGTTAGCACTCTCCAAACCCTGACTGAAACTTTGTCCTATGCTCAGTGTGAAGTGAAGGTAAAAACAGCGCCCTCTGAGATCGAAGTGGAGATTGCGGCCGAGATTGGTGTGATTTCCTGTGGAAAAGAGGTGCTGGGATGCAAAGTAGGGAGGGCTCTGAGAGGTCCAGTTGCCCCACTAGGAGTTCTCTTCCTCTGTCAGCCTTGGAGGCACATAGTGAAGCTTGAATGAGCAAAGGTTTTCCTACCAATTATAGTTTTTATTTTTCAGCGTCAAAGTCTTTGTCTGTAAGTGAAATATTTGATACCTGTAATACCATATATATGTAAGATATGAATAATAAATCTGATGCGTGTGTGTGCACTTAGGACTAGAAAGAAGTATAACCTAATGGTGAGGAATTTGGGTTCTGGTCAGGTGCAGTGTGATCCCAGTGAATCCGGAGGCTGAGGCAGAAGGATTGCAAGTTTGGTGCCAGCCTCTGCAATTTAGTGAGAATCTCAGCAATTTAGCAAGTTCCTGTCTCAAAATAAAAATAAAAAGGGTTAGGGATGTACTCCATAGTAAAGTGCCCCTGAGTTCCCTCCCACTACAAAAAAAAGAACTTGGACTGTGGAAGTTGCTAATCATGTTTGGAATTTTGGCTCATCTAATTCTGGCTGTGTGTTATCATCAAAGTACTTAAATTTCTGTACCTACATTTTCCCAGCCTCTAAAAAATGAGTACTTAAATATTGATTTTCTAAGGTGATTGAATGAATGTGAAAGAGCAAGGCCTGGCAATAAGCCTCATGTATATTTAAGGTTTTCTGTGTAATTCCTCCCAAAACCCCTTCCCCCAGAGGTAAATGTTCATGAATTTTGTGATTGTAAACTAAATGATTTATGTATAGATTTACCATAGAGCTATTTTTTAAAGATGTAGTGTGCATCAAAATAATCTGGAAAGCTGGACCCCCACCGTGAGATTCTAATTCCAGGGATGGGTTCTAGGAATCTATTTATTTTCTCCTCCCCTCCCCTTCCCTTTTCTTTTCTTTTCTTACCAGGGATTGAACCCAGGGATGCTTAACCACTGAGCCACATCCCCAGCCCTTTTTATATTTATTTAGAGACAGGGTCTCACTGAGTTGCTTAGTGCCTCACTATGTTGCTGATGCTGGCTTTGAACTCATGATTCTCTTGCCTCTGCCTCCCAAGCTGAGGAATCTATTTTCAAGAAGCCCCACAGCTGATTCTTATGCTGGCGGTTGGCAGAGTAACTCTGCCTTAAAATTTGCTTGACTGAGAAGTAGCCTTTTCTGGATAAGAGGGGTGAAAAGTCTAAAAATCAAAAGCGAAGAGTTTTCAGAAAGGATGTCCAAAGATTTAACAATAGGACCCTCGACATGGGGTGTACCATATGTTACATGCCACCTTAACAAACATAAGGTATCTGGTAGATGCCATGGAACATGCTGGGTCCTTTCTGACTTATTTAATCGTTCCCTAAAGGTAAGTTAAAGTATTAAGAGTCTTATTCAGAACATGGCTGGATGGTAAATATTTTAAACTTTGCAGTCTCTGTTACAGCTACTCAGTTTTGCTATTGTACTGTACAAACACATACATAGGAATAGCCATGCTCTAATAAAACTTTATTTACAAAAGGAGGTGGTGAGCTGGATTTGGCAACCACTGCTATGGGTCATTGCTATGGGTTTCTCAGGAGCAATTTCTCATCCTGAGATGAGAATCATGTCCAAGTCATTTGTTAGATAAGAGCTCCCAGAAGATATTGGTGAGAAATTGGGGTAACAAAAGGGAAGAAGCCAAGCAAAATTGTGATGTCAGACAAAGTTTCCCTAAGTGTAATTTCAGCCTGAAGAATCACAGATGCAAACTTCAATGCAAACATATACCACAACCTAGGGACATAGAAAAATTGCTTAAAGGACTTCGAGGAGATCTGGTCAGAGTATTGACAGTGTCTACCACTATCATGCAGCAAGGTGAAGTAGGGTACACTCTGACTCCAGAGCTTCTAGTTCTGCTGCTGCACCACATAGATGGGTGAGAGACATCTAGCATTCTGTTGAAACTGGTCCAGTGACTACATTGTAAATTATAGCTTAATGGTCTTATTGATAAAGTTGAAATGTCACTACTGAAGGTGAGTGGGCCTCTCAGAACTTGGAAGGTAGTTGAGCATTGTGATTTAAGAGCTCTGGCTCTGGAGTGAGGCAGGTCTGGGTCCAAATTAGGACTCTACATCTGACTGTAGTCTTGGGGTATGTTTCTTATCCACGTTTCTCAATTTCCCCATCTAGAAAATGGGAATGTTAATATAATAGTGTCTTCTATATGGATCTATTGTGAAAATAAACAGATAATTCTTATGAAATGGTTAGCACAGTACCTGGTTTTCAATTTCAGTTACTGGCTAATGATCATTGTTATTATTGAACCATGCTTGTGTGTGTGCATATGTGTTTGTGCATGTGTACATACGCCACATACCCACACATGTTGAGGACCAAACTCAGGGCCTCGTGCATGCTAGGAAAGCACTCTACCACTGAGCTATACCCCTAGCCCTCATTATTATTGAAAATGAAAGTCAGAGACAGTTTATCCATGAATGTTCAGAGATCCCGACTGAAGTCTTGTGTGTCTGATCCCTATAAGTAGACTGTTCTCATGGCAGGTGAATGCATATGGATGGCTGTCTCTGCTTTACTGTCAGTATACTTCTCAGATTTTCCATCTTTGCCTGGTTCCATATCCTTTAGGAATCTTCTGATCATAATTTGGCTTCTAGTTTCCTATAGAGAGAAGGGACTGACCAAAGAATTCAACTGTCCAGTTCCAACGATGGCTATTTTTTATTAATGAATTGGCATTCAGGATTACATCTCAGACTCTTAGTGTTGGGTTAGCATCCTCATAGCTTTGGATCCACATATGATGTGTTCTTGGATTTGGGTCAGTTCTCCAGGGCTTTGCTTCCCTGAGGCACCATTTAGGAGGCAGTGTTCTTTCCAATCCCTTTCTTAGTTGTGGACCCAAATCACTGAGGCAGAAATCACTGCTTTGTAAGTGTGAAAGTTTTCTTAAAAGATGCCATCCAGTGCTTGCAGGTCCAACATGGGGAAGCATGCGTTAGGCTTTACCAGGCAAGATAGTACTCTCCTTGAGCCCCAGGGCCTGAGGAGGAGCATGGGAAGGGACTGCTGAGGACTGGTGAGCTGCTTCTGGATGCTCTGTCTAGGTGCCAAGCTCTGCTAGATTAGGGATATCTCAACAATTGATCCTGTGATCCTCTTAGGGAACCAAATGAGGGTTAAAATGAGACTAATTCTAAGATCTAACATCCCCTACATGGGACTGCCAAGAGCTGTCATCCTGTCCCATTCTCAGCCTGAGACTGGCCACAGGATGGCCTGGCAGAGACCACTGGATATTTTAAAGTAGTCATGTCCACTGTGATGTAGATCCACATCTACTCTAAGCTCTACCCTTCTCTAACCGTTCCTCTTTGAGATTGCATTCTAAGCACTTCCCATCAGAGTTGTGATTCTTCCCCCCCCCCCCCCCGCCAAGATACTGCTTGTTAGCTGCCCTGAAATTGTTGGCTAATCCACCTGGGGTGAGATCAGGGTTTCTTTGTGCTCCCACAGCCTGTCCCTATTGAAATACTTATTGTATTATGTGACAGTTGCCTGCTTCCATGTTTTTCCTTTCCACCAGAGCATGAGTTTCTTGAAGGAAGGCACTCTTATTCATCAACAGAGACCAATATGTAGTATTCAATATGTACATGAGGGGCTGGGGTTGTGGCTCAGTGGTAGAGTGCTTGCCTGGCATGTGTGAGGCACTGGGTTTGATTCTCAGCACCACATTAAAAAAATAAATAAATAAAATAAAGCTATTGTGTCCATCTACAGCTAAATTTTTTTTAAAAAAATATGTACATTAAAAATTATAAGAGATCAACCCTGCTGTGTGTCCCCACCTAGTTTACCCTTCACTTACCAATTCTGCCATGGAAATCAAAGTAAGATAATAACTCCTATCACGAAACCTTCCCAGGGTAGATATCTTCCAAGATCCTCTAAAAGGTTAGGGATTAGAATAATACTGAGATTACAGTCCTAATAATGCCAGTATTATTACCATCCTGAGTTTGAGGAAACTGAAATTCAACAAGTCAAATGATTTTTTCCATGGCTGTTTGGTTAGAGATATCAGAATCCAGACCCTTGAATTCCTAAGCATGGACCTCCTTCAGCTATTCAACAGATGTTTTAGTTCTTGTGTTGCATCCTTTCTGTAGCCTATTGACTGTTATCGTCATTTTTCTGAATAAGAAATCCAAGTTATTGGTATTGAAACAACTTGCCCTAGTTCACACAGCCAGGAATGATAGAGCCAGGGTTTATGCTGAGGTCTGCGTGATTCCAAAGCTTATGTGTTTTCTGAACACTTCTGCCTTTCCTTTAGTACTAGAAGATTTGGACTGAGAGAAAATGTGGGGCCACGATGAATAACAGGGAAGGTGAGAACCAAAACTAACCTAGCTCTTTTGCCACCCACTCCATCCCACACCAGGTTGCGGGAATAGTGCTCTGAGCTACGAGCTGTTCCTTGGAGGCTTTCCCGATGTGACCAGTGTGGATTACTCATCAGTAGTGGTGGCTACCATGCAGGCTCGCTATGCCCATATACCCAGGCTGCGTTGGGAGACCATGGATGTGCGGATGCTTGCCTTCCCTAGTGGCTCCTTTGATGTGGTGCTTGAGAAGGGCACACTGGATGCCCTGCTGGCTGGGGAACAGGATCCCTGGACCATATCATCTGAAGGTATCCACATTGTGGACCAGGTGCTCAGTGAGGTGAGGAATCAGCAAGAGAGAAGGGCAGATTAAGGGGTGGGGATGAGGGGATGGAAAGAACTCAAAAGCTAGAGGTCTGGTTTGGAGCAGATGGTGGATCACCCTCAGAAGTATAGTTCTCTAAAGAATGGGAGTGTTAAGCTGGATCAAGATTAGAAGGGGCTGGAGTGATTAAGCTTACAAAGGCCAATGTTTGGCTACTAGGTTGCATCAGGGGTAAGGTAACAGGCAAATTCCAGACAGGTGATACAGACTGAGAAGGAGAACAGCTGATAGGAAAGCCATGCCTCCTGAACTCGCATGCTCCTATTTAGATCGCAGCCCTGCTTTCATGAAATGGCGAGGAGCAGAGAATGTGGCTTACTCTTTGCCATGGAAAGTTTGAGCTACTGGATGGAGGGTAATACCTGAGGTTTGACTGGGGCAGTACTGACCTTTGAGAACCTGGAGATGACTCATCACCGATGGCTTCTCTGTCTGCCTTGCAGGTGAGCCGGGTGCTGGTCCCTGGGGGCCGGTTCATCTCAATGACCTCTGCAGCCCCCCACTTTCGTACCAGACACTATGCCCAAGCCCGATATGGCTGGTCCTTGAGGCATGCAACCTACGGCAGCGGTTTCCACTACCACTTCTACCTCATGCACAAGGGTGGGGAGCTCAGTGTGGCCCAGCTGGCCCTAGGAGCCCAGATCCTGTCACCTCCCAGCCCTCCCACCTCACCCTGCTTCTTCCAAGACTCAGATCATGAAGACTTTCTCAATGCCATTCAGCTGTGAGGCCAGAGGCATTGTCCTCCAGCTCTCCCTGGGCTTCTCAGGAATTCCTCACTCAGGATTGGGGTTGTTTCAAAGGTGCTCACATTCCAGAGGTCTCATGTGCAAGAGAGAGGTTGTGAGAACAAGCCCATGTGAGCCAATTCAGCCCTGCTCCAACTAGGTCCCCAGATCCTAGATTTCTGGCTTCCTTCTTATGATCCTTTGAACTCTACTTCGTTCCCCATAAACTTCTCCACCATACCGGACCACCAGTAATTCATCCCCTGGGGTAAATTTTAACAGCCCTTCTGTACAACAGCTGGCCTAAGGGGCCCCCTTCCAACTTGCATTTGTGTACAGGAGATAGCAGACTTTGAATATAGATTGCTTTATGCTTCCGACCCCAGCTCCAGCCCCAACACTGCTTACCTGTCCTGCTTAGACTGTTCATGTACCTAAGGAGACCACATGGTAACCATGTTCCCAGCTCAGGCTGGCCTGCCTGTATTCCCTTGGCAACCCTCCCCTACCAGCAACTTTGCACTTGAGATTACCAAGTATTTGCCTCCCTCCCATTTTGGCCCCGCTCCTGAGCAGACTGAAGCAGTGGCCACACACGCACACAGGGAGGTCTGTGTTTATTCACACACTCCTGATACAGTGAGGATGGAGGAACATTTTACAAAGGACACCCCTGGGTTGAGGACATCTCCAGGTCCACAGGTGTCATCCAGAGGTGCAGAGCAGTCCCATTTGGGTTCCCAGGGGTAGAACGAAAGGATCCAAGGTAAAATCAGATCTGGGCCCTTACAAGGTGATACCTTGGGGGAAAGGGGTCTGCCCGAGAACCTCCTGGAGTGAGGCTTTGGCAGACTGACCATATGATTGGTTACCATGTTGGGGGCTTGTCCCAACCCAGCCTCAACACCCGTCCTATCTGCCAGGCGCAGAAGAGCATGGCGGAGGCTATGGGGGGAGGGCACGAATCATGAGCGGAGCCAGTAAACAAAGAATCGGATATAAAAATACAAATGTGCTGAGGAAGTTCCTTAGAAAGAGGCTGGGGTCACGCCAGACTGGGGTGAGGATTAGGAACTGCCCGGAGGGCTGGGCTCAGGTGGGTGGGAAGCTCATGCAAATACGCAGCCAAACATCCCTGGCCACGCGCGGTCCGACACCGGCAGCCACCCGGTCTGCAGACCAAACTGGCAGGAGGGGGGCGGGGCAGGGGAGCCGTGCGGGAGGGGGCGGGCCGGGGAATGGGGGCCGCGGGTCTCTGTGTCCGTTCCGGTGTGCGGGGTGGGGCTGCGGCCCGAGGTTCTAAAGTGCATGAGCGCAGCGGCGGGCTCCGGGCCGGTCCGCGCCGCCGCTACCACCGCCGCCGTGGTGCTGAAGCGGACAGCTCCGGAGTGCCTGGCAGCGGCGGCAGAGACACTGACCCAGCGGCGGCGCAGACCTGCAGCCCCCGCCCGCGGGCTCCTGGGCCGGGGCGGGGGGCGCCGGCAGCCGCATCGCCGGCCCGCGCTCCTGGCCGCTGCGGGGCTGGGCCCGGAGCTCGCCGCCGGAGCCACCGCGTCTACACTCCGGACGGCGGCTTCTCCCCCATCCCCTTCAGCACGTCGTCTATCCGGTCATCCTCGATCACCACTGCGCAGGGAGAAAGCGCGTCAGCCGCGCGGCCTCGGGGGGCGGCGGCGAGAATGGGCCCCGCGTCCTCGCGCCCCGCGTAGCTACTGCCCCCCGGCCCAGCGACGCCCCCTCGGAACCCGGTGCCACCGAGCCTTCCCCATCCCCTGCCTCCCTCCAGGCTACCAAGCCTCGCTCCCACAGACCCCCTTCCCTCCCTATGTTGGAACGCCCCTCTTCCAAAAGCTCTGGCAATTGTGCCTCCCAGTGCGAACCCTCCCGCCACCTGAGCCTTCCTTAATCTGAGCTGACCAGAGATATCTCTAGCTCATAGAACCTCCCTCTTCAACCCTCAGTTCAACAGAACCCCTTCCTCAAATGGGGCTCAAACGGAACATGCAGCTAATCCGACCCTCTCCCTCACCTAAACCTCTTGCTACTTGAACCCCTCTTCCGATCCTGGGACCAACAAAGTCCCCCTCCCCATGCAAACAACCAGGACAACAGAACCCCTGGCCTTTCTGCCCTCCAGTCGGACGACCCTCTGGACCTGAAGGTTCTTCGTAGCATCCACCGACTGAGCATTTGATCCCAAAGAATTTGCCCACCATTCTGTTCCCACTTCCAAGCAGCCCCAAATGCCCGGACCGGCCCCTCCCCCTCGCCCAGGTGCCAGGGCTCTGCTTCCAGAGGTGGCGAGCACCGATCGAATCCGGGGCACTGTGTTCCAGGGAGAGGAGAAGAGGGGGACAACACTGCAGCAGGGACCCTCCCCCCACAACCCGGGCCGAAGAGCGGCTGGCTGCGCTGGTCTGCGGCAGGAGCTGCGGCTACTCGGCGGGGAACGGCAGCAGGGGGGCGCCCAGCGGAGGGTTTCTGGGTCAGGCGGCGACTCCGAGCCGGGGCCGCGTACCTCGCTTGGCTCGGCCGATCTGGCCCAGCTTGGGGGGTCGCTTGGCCTGGTTGCCCGCGAAGAAGGAGTTGGTGTCCTGCAGGCGGCAGCTGAAGGAGAGGTCGGAGCCCTCGGGGTCTGCGCCGAAGCGGCCCATCTTGTCCTCGCTGTAGGGTAGGATCTCGGACATGGCGGGCGCGGGGCGTGCGCGGGACTGCAGCTGGGCGCGGGCGGCGGGCTAGCTGCCGGACCGGCCCTAGCTCAGTAGGGGAGCCGGCGGAAGGATGAAGTCATGCAGCATCCGGGACTGCGGAGCCAAGCGGGGCCTCCTCCCCCGCGCCTCCGCCTCCCGGGCCGCTGGGCAGGCGGCGGCGGCGGCGGCGGCGGGGACCGGGCGGGGGCGGGGGCAGTGAGCGGGGGGCGGGGGTGGCGGCGGCGGCGAGAGCGGAATGACGATGAGCGCCCGACTGCGGCAGAGAACGGCGGGCGGGGCGCGGTGGAGGCGGGGCGGGCACCGGCCAGGAGAAAGAGGCGGGGTCGAGGGGCCGAAGCGCGCCCAGCTATCCCCCGAAAGGAAGGAGCAGCAGTGGGAGGTTCCCGCACAGTGGCGGGGAATGGCCCGCAGTGGGTCTGGAAGAACTGTACAGACCAACGCTGGGAAGAGCTGGTGGGGAGGGGCGGGACCAGAGAGAAATTGGGAGCGAGCCTGGTACTTAGAGAGAAAGGGGGAGGGTCCGACACCAAAGCTCAGAAGGCGGTGCAAAGGAGACTGAGCAGGGGTGCAAAAGCTGACGCGGCCCTTTGGGGCCTGAAAACAGCAGCAAGGCAATCAACCCAAAGAGCGGACATCAGAACCGCGGCAGCAGGAAGCTCTGGGTACGGGTGGAGAGTGGAAAAGACACAAATCCGCAGGAGCGCGGGAAGAGCTCAGGCCTGTGGGTGGTGCCCTCGTGGTTGGCGCGCTCTCTTATCCTAGTTGCTCTGCGGGTCTCTTGCGGTTCTTCAGGGTCTGTTCATCTCCGATTGCCTTTCTATGTCTGTCTCTGTATGTCAGTGTATCTCTACGTGTCTCCCTGTATATCTCTGTGTTAGGATCTTTGCCTTTCTGAATCTGTTTCCATGTTTGGCCTCTGTAACCTTTGCTGTACGGTGTCTCTGTCTCCTTAGTCTATTTCAGTCTCTGCTAGGAGGAGTCTAAGTAAATCCAAGGTCATATCGCGCACCAAAGCGGACTCCCGGCCGAAATCGGGACTCGTAGAGCCCGCTGCGCCTTTTGGTTCTTCCAGCCCAGGAGGCTCCCGCGCGTTTGCAGTGTAGGAGGAATGAATGGCAGCGTCGTGGGGGGTGCCTGGGCTGCGGGTGACGCGGGGAAGCACGGAGCGCCTGAGGACTTGGCGCTTGCTAGTATGGGTCGCGAGGGAGGGAGGGAGGGACTGAGGGCGCCCCTAGCCCTGGTTGCCGGGACCATGGGAGAGTTCTAGCGGTTTGGACCGGAACAAGCTCTTTCCCACTTACCTCTGGCAACCCCCACCCCCGCCCTAGCTGGCCGTCAGCGGCAACGTCACCTGCTTGCTAGAGCGCAAAGGCTCTGGCGCAATCACAGGCCTTGGAGCGGAGTGGGTGTCTCACATTCGGCGAAAGTGACGACAGCGCTGATGAAGGTAATAATCACTTTGTACGTTCACTCCACACCCCAGGCGGAGGCCCTTTCTACTCATTCCAGTCAA